GAACTGATTTTATTTCCATTTTGTGGATGAAAAGTGACTTGCTTGATGCCACACTACACATGATGTAACTACTGCCTAGTAGGTTCACAGACGCAGCCAGGTTCTCCAGGGGAGCGGCTAAAGGCCCTTTTCCAGAGGAGATGTTCATTCTCACCTACTTTTGGGGATCTTTTAAACCCGCCTCCTTCTGAGGCCCATGTGGCAGGCAGCCATGTCTTGGATTCCCACTCCATGCTGAAATTGATATAAATGAGTCTCTCCCTCTCTCGTTCAGGCATACACAAACCTTGTGATCTTGCTTTTGGAAAGAAACCATGGTTTTATTTTGACAGAGTTGAGGGTTTAGTGTGTACCACCCACTGGCTCCTAAGAGACAAACCCAAGGGAAGTCCAGCTCGATGCAGTCATCATCCTCAGCCAGAGTTTTTGCTGAAGTCTTTGTTACCTATGCTTTGGGAAGCACAGCTCAGCACACAGTAGGTGCTAGGTAAAGAATGATGACAATCTATGCCATTTATTGCTCCGTAACAATCCCCAAACTTAGCAGCTAATAACAATGCACATGTGTTACCTTATAGTTTCTATGGGGCAGGCATCCAGACAAGATTTACCTGAGTGGTTCTGGCTTAGGATATCTCCTATAGTTGCCATCAAGCTGTCAGCCAGGCTTGTGGTCACCCCAGGCTGGAGGATCTGCTTCCAAGTTCATTCATGGGGTAGTTAGTAGGACTCAGCTCCTCACAGGCTATTGACTGCATACCCTATCACATGGGTCTCTCCATAGGCTTCCTCAGCGTCCTCACAGCATGGTGGCTGGCCTCATCCTAGAGCAAGCAATCTGAGAGACAGCCCAAGACGGAAGCAGCTACAATCTTATTATCTCATCTCAAATGTGACTGACCATCACTTCTTCCATCTTTTATTGGTCACACAGACCGGCCCTGGTACAATGTGGGAGGAGCCTACACAGGGGGTGAATACTAGGGGTCATCTTGCAGGCTGGCTACTGAAGGAGACCAAAACCTTTCACCCCAAAATATACTTCTTTGACATATTTTGAGATGGCGGTTCAGAGAGCCTGTAAACAGAGGTGACCCTTAAAAGCTGTCTTTTGATGGGAGATTTGCATCCGTAGAGAATCTGTATTGAGGCAGCCAGGCTTTCCCTGAAGCTTTCTCTTGTCCTTATCTAGAAAAGATTAACAGAGAGTCTGACACCTTTAAAGATCTGAAAGAAACATTTACCATCTATTCTCCCAGCAGGCTGCTAAATGTAAGGTTTCATCTATATAACAAGACCACTTTTGCTAGCCAGGTCTCCTCCTCTCTCCCTCCCACAACCTGTCTTGCCATCATAATCTAATATACCACCATCATCTGTTTTTGGCTATAGCCTGAGCCCCCCTGGTTTCTGTAATCCCAAGATGGTGTGTAAGATTCTGTACTGTACTGGGGTGTGGGGACAATCACTCTCTGGTTCTCACCCAGTCATGTTAATAAATTTGTGTGCCATTTCTATTAATCTGCCTTTTGTCAGTTTATTTTTCAGTGAACCTTCAGAGAGCAAAGGGAAAGCTTTCTGGTGGGCTCTACACTACCATAATTTGTCTATATATTTTTACATTTTTCAGAGAAATTCCTATATATTATCTCATTTTTAAAAACTTTCTTTCTGGCATGAATTTAACTTGTTTTCCCAATATATCAAAAACCTTTCAAGGAGAAAGAATGTCACATTTACAGATTTTTTTTGCCCCTACGCCACAATCTTCCCAACCCATGTCAGTAAACAAAACAAAACAAAAATAAATGAAGCATTTATGGCTTTGGAAACAGTGCTCATTGCACTAATCAGGTGGGCCACTATACCTTCTTGGTCTCAGTTGTTTCCCTCTATAAAGTGGGGTGCAGAGGAGAGAGGGTTGGACCGGATGTTCTCACAGGGCACTTTGAGACAGAAATAATGTAGTGTAGTTGCAGTAGAATAGAAAATTCCAGGCAGCAGTTTCACATGACTAGCAAAAGGAAACTGGAAATAGCTACAGAAGCCAGGGACTAAGACCTTGAAAAACCAGCATGTGGAGCAAGCTGGCTGAATCCAACTGGACCCAACATGGAGCTGAATTTTACCTGAGATTCTCCTAGGACCTCATTATATGCATATTAAAACACTAAGTCCACCAGTGCCATGAAAGTTTTTGGTATAAAAATGGATGACACTGCTGTTCTGGGAAATGTCCATGTTTTTCCAGGAACTTTCATGAATCTTCCACCGCTTGGTTAAAGAAACCCACAGGCCAGGTGTGGTAGCTCACGCCTGTAATCCTAGCACTTTGGGAGGCCGAGGTGGGTGGATCACCTAAGGTCAGGGGTTTAAGACCAGCCTGGCCATCATGGTGAAACCCCATCTTTAAAAAAAAAAAAAAGAAACCTGTAAAGGTAGCAGCCCCAAACCCCTCATGCGTGACTCTTGGGTATGCCCACACTCCCCTTTCTTAAGTGCATCCACATTCCCCTTTTTTGAGCATGTTCTTTTTCCCTTTCAATCAATCTCCATGTTTTCACTGTTTTCTAACTCATCCTTGAATTCCTTCTTGCGAAGATGTAAGAATCTGAACGCTGGCTGGGGTTGAGGTCCACTGAAGTTGGGGGACCTCTCCCAGCCCACCAGGATCTCTTCCAGCTGCAACTTTTTTTTCTAAAGTGGAAGGGGCCATGCCGACTTGACATATACAGAAACAAAGGCAGAGGCGTGAGGGGTTAACCAATGTTACCAGGGCAGTCTGTGGCCAAGCCGTAAGCAGAACTATGTTTTCGGGACAGCTGGGCCAATGTGTTTTCTCCTGTTTTTGCTGCCTACCTTTGGGACTGGTGAAAGCTGGGCCAGCCTCTGGTGACCATATCTGTTGTCTTGATAGTATTACTATTACTGCTAGCACTACTACTTCTATCATTATTACTGCTGCCATTTGTTTTGCGCCTCATTTCCATACTCATTTGCACAGTTTCTATTATTCATGAGACACAAAAATCCTATAAATAGAAATTGTTTCCATTTAACAGAAGACAAGCCCTAGGCAAATTTTTACCTGAATGATTGGCCTTAAGTCACCAAGGAGTGAGTAGAAAGAGTCCGAAATTTGGAAGCTGGATTGAGGGCAAATGGAAGCAGAAGGCACGGAATTCAGGTGACTTCACCCTAGCACCTAAAATGTCTGGCAAGGCAGCTGCACCCTTAGAAGCTGCCAACCCCCTGTACCGAAGAGTGAGGTGACCTCCAGGGACACCTGCATGGAGGGTAACCTTGATGCAATAGCTATTTGACTGCTACTTGAGCAGGTGGCCTGCTACACTCTGAGCCAAGAATAGGATGGGGAAAAAAATTGCAACATGTTTGCTCTACATACATGTGGTGCCCTTGACTTCAGGCCACAGAAACTCCCATCAGTGAGATGGGCTTGGAAGAGAAGTGAACACTTGGATTGCACTATCCCAGGAGCAGCCCTGCACATCCCCGAGTCTGCCTTAGAATGCCAAATGGCTCTCTGCCACTTCCTTGCAGAACCGACGCCTCCCTTTTTCCCCATCTTAGGGAATTCGCCTGTCTTTTCCTGGGTTTGGGCTACCCATAGTTCAATGTCAACTCCAAACTCTAGTCTCTGTTGCCTTTTACTTCAGCATGATCTTGCCTAACCCTTTAATGTATTCAATGCCTGAGTAGCAGTTCTGAAGCTTCTCAAAGAGGCTCCTGATTTTTCCTGGGACAAGAGAGCGCAGAGTACAGAGGCCTATTGATTTACTTTAGAAATCGCTGGGGGCAGGGAGGAGAAAACTACTTTTTTATGCTTTGGAGTTTCTCCTAGCAAGGAGAAGGTGGCAAAACTTAATAGCTCTTTATTTTTCCATTTGTTTTCCTTACAAGCATCGTTCGTGCCTGGTATAAGTCTTCTAATCTTTTATAGAAGAAAGCTAAGACTCAGAGAAGTTAGATAACTAGCCCCAGGTCACATAGTCATAGTAAGGGTTGGAGTCAGGATTTAAACTCAGACCTGTATAACCTGAGCGATAGGCTGTGGGCCTGGCAGTGGCGAGCACCTACCATGTGCTGGCTGTAGCTTTTAGATGCTTTCTGGATGTTGTCCAGTTCTAAGCCTCATAATAGTCCTGCAAGATAGGTCTCATTGAGTCACTTTACGGATTATGAAACTGGCTTGGTAAGGTCAAGTCACTTGCCCAAGGACACAGAGTTAGATGTGGCAGGAACTAAGTAGAATTCAGAATACTCCTGTGATTGCTTCCTTCCTCCAGGGCCAAGAGGAAACCTAAGCTCCCTGTGCTCCATAGATTGACCTAACTGATACCTGGTTCTCCCTTGAGAACCCTGTTTCCCTATAGTCCTCTCAAGTGGTGGCTGCCTTCTATCCGGCGACCCTTATCTACAGGGCCTGGTGTAAGGTAGGTGTCCTCGTAGCTCCTTATTGCTGTGTTCAGACTGTTTTCCTCCTTCTTCACTAACTGCTCCAAACGAAGCTCGAACTGCAAGTCACAGGCTCCCTCCCCTTCTTATCATAATCAACTACTGCCCTCCAGACCCTCCCTCTAATTCTTTGAAGAGCAGGGCCTGGCTCACGGTCATCCTCTCTTGAAACCACCTTTGCAAAAATTATAACAGTGAGACAATTAGGACAGTGAAAGAGATCTAATGTAACCAATTCTATCTTGCTTTTAGCCTCCAAGCTGTCCTTGGTCATTCCTGAGTGTGAGCCAAGATATCTTTGGGAGAAGCTTAGTTTATACTTTAAATGATAATAGTCCTTCCCAAAACTAAACTGCCTTCGTAAAACTAGTGAAAGTCCACCAGGTTAGGAGGATGAGAGGGGTGTGAATTCTGCTAAAATGTAAGCATAGTTAACCAATAACCAGCCATTGTTCTTGGGGGTGGGGGGGCGGTCACAAGATTTGCCACTTCCCCAATTACTCCTATAAATGACAACATTATTATTTTTTTCATGTCATAAGTTTATTTACACACATATCTAGTATGCCATATGAGTTTGATCCATTTTCCAGAGACTGAACCTCTTGAAATGCTCTTCATGTCTGTTAAATGGATGAGCTGAAACATCCTTGTTTTTTAAGTAGTTGGTGTCTTACTATAAACAAGGGTGTAGCAAATCCAGATCCAAAGTACAAATACATCATGGCTAGTAACCGCCACTTGTTTTGAACTGCAAATGGCAAATTCTTCCCAGGGCCCTCCTCATAGTGGCACCTACGGACCGCAGAGGTTGTGAACCTCCAGATGGTCTGGCCCAACACAGTGCTGCTGGAAGCTCTGCGAAAGATGCAGAGACCGAGGACGGAAGAAATGGCAGCACCCTGGCCAGGCGCGGTGGCTCATGCCTGTAATCCTAGCACTTTGGGAGGC